TCTTAAATGATTGCTATTAATAATAATGATTGTTATGTGAGACTAATAAATAAAATACTTGTTTTGAAGCTTTACAAAATTGACTAAAATTTATTTCATTTTGTTTTCACAAAAATATTTCAACAATTAATGAATTTACTTCCGACTCATCGGAAAGCGACTGTCGGAACAGTTGCGAGTGTTGCCAACCCGTGCTACCGGTGCCGCCATCCAGAATGGCTTCGATTATGATATCACCCGTCAGAGAAACTTCACTTCTTTTAAAGATATTCTCAGTGTTTGGCTTCATCTCCAACCGATTGTCTTCAGTTGAGTACACGTATAGCCGAATGAATCCATTCTCAAACACTTTGCACTTAATAGTGATCCGCATTTCACTCCATTTTACATCACTCTTCAAATTGAGTTTCCATTTGATTCTTCCGGTTTGGATGGCATTGGACTCATTGCGCGATAAATAAGACATTTTCCAGTCTTTCTCTACTTTTCTCATTATATTCTCGCTCTCAAAGACACAGTTTTTCCATGACTTCAGTATCTTTGAGTTAAATCTGTACTCATCGGCGGCACTGTTGTACGNTATTCTCAGAAAAAAGATAATAAAATGTCATTTAAGAACACAAGGAAAGGACAGGGAGTTTACGGAATGTCTACTATTAATACCAAAATATATGATAAAATGTAATATTAATGATAAAATACAATATAATAATTAGGAACCAATGAATGGTTGAATACATTACCAAAAGAGTCTTCAAAATATACATTACCTTAAGTTCAACTCAAGAGTGAACTCAATCTCAACCATAGTCTGTATGTGTGTATTGGTCTCTATTGTCAGCAAAAGTGCATAACTCTATTGATGGCCAATATATATACATATTTAAAGTCATATCAAAGACTCATTGTTTGTATAATCAATGATTGAATACTACTCACAATTACCACTCAAAAGCCAAACACAATCTCAGTATTAAACAGAAGTTTTTGTCATTTGTTTTGGACTTTAATTTAATCTCATTTCTAAAGCGAAGACCTTTTTATAGGTTTTAACTGTAATTCAATTGAAGAGAAGGAAAAGACGAGTCTTTACATCAAAACACCAAATGTTTTGTAAATGTTTTTGTATTTCTTTTGTATTTAATTGTCTTTTAATTGTCTCTCAATTACTCCACTATTCATCGAAAAGTCATTCAATTCAGAGCTCGTTATTGAGACCACACTTACCACCGATTGGATACTCAATGCAAACGAACTCCGAGTTCAGTAATCTTTGCGTTAAAACTGTTTTCATTTCGGATGTGTTTCGGGAAGTGTTAAGTGACAACAAATCAGTCAATACTCACGTCTACATCATAGCCGTAGTCCTTGTGTTTGGCCGCCTTCTCGTAGTCAGCCCTCAGTGCCAAGTCGTGGTACCGGTTGCACTCACCAAGGTCCATTCTCTGCACACACATCACCATCAGTTGATCCATTCATACAGTCATACAACCATTCAATGCTAATCACACTCACCGTAGAGGCGAGGATGTCGTGTGGACAACAATCCAAGAGAAAGCTTTTGCACACTCTGTGGTCAGTGAAGTGATAGCGATGTTTGGACTCGTCTGTGGATCAGTTGACAACAAAGTTAGTGTCCAATCAATTCATGTATTGTGTAAATGATGGCTTGACAAGACATACCTCCCTCTCTGGCGGTGCCCATCAACTGGTCCAACATCGCCCTCATCTGTTCGGTGGCCGACATTGTGCTGCAAAGAGTGGTTAATTAGATGACAATTGTGGTGACAATTGCGGTGACAATTGGTATGTCAGTCAATGAATGGACACAGAAGTGGTGTTTGTGTGCAATAAATGGCGAAACAATGGTTTGTCTGGCAATGAGTCCACAGATGGCTCTCATTGTGCATCACATACACTGACACACGACTCGCTGTACACTCACTGTATGACTGCTTTGGACACAACTTTCACTTTCACTCTCAAACCACTGATCGATTGAATTGTTTTTCTAATCATTTGTTAACTATTTGTTTGAAATATATTTATTTGTCGTTTACTTTTCACACCTTTTATAGCAATTCAAGTGATATAGTCATCAGAGATGGCAAACATCCACACATTCCTCAGGAGCGACCCGAAGCTGATGCCAGTCAACGAAACGGAGATCCAGTTCTTCAATAAACTCAAGTTATATCACAGTTTGGTTAAGGCTTACGAGGACTTCCGACTACAAGAGATGGCCAGAGGTCTGGTGCCGTGGAAGCAGATGACCATCACTGCCATCAATAAGATGTTGAAAATAAGGCAAACGCTCAAAAACAGTGGCCAAGACTGCGGAACCGATAGCAAAGACATTCTTCTGATTGATTTGCTCGAGTGGTATAAGAATGAGTTCTTTGAGTGGTTTGATTGTGCCGTTTGTGACAAATGCAACAAAAAGACAACGAATCCGCAGAACGTGAGCCCAAACGAAGACGAGATGAGATGGAGTGCAATGACAGTGGAGTTGTACTCGTGTGCCGACTGCGGACGAGAGTATCGGTTCCCGCGGTATAACAGCGCTGAGAAGTTGTTGACGACTCGGAGGGGACGGTGCGGAGAGTGGGCCAACTGTTTCACTCTGTTGTGTCGGGCAATGAACTTCTCGGCGCGACTGGTGGTCGACTGGACTGATCACGTGTGGACTGAGGTGTACAGCGACGCACAGAAACGATGGCTTCATTGCGATCCCTGCGAAGGCATCTGCGACTCCCCTCTCGTGTATGAGTGCGGATGGGCTAAGAAGTTGACGTTTTGTATCGCATTCGCCGTCAATGAGGTGCAGGACGTCAGCTGGAGGTACAGCAAAGACCACCCGGCGCTCAGACAACGCAGGGCTCTCATGTGTCGAGAGGAATGGGTGGCCAACGTGTTGGACAAAATGACCGCTAATTTGTGGCTCGCATTCAGTCCGGAATTGAAGGAACAGTTAAAACTGAGGCGACTTCTGGAGTTCGTTGAGTTCCTCAGAGTTCCGAACCAGAGTTCGTCCGTCAAAGACGATGAGCACAAAGGCAGGCAATCGGGGTCTCAGGCCTGGCGTTTGGCCCGACAGGAGATCTCAGATCAAGAGCTGACCAATCATTATGTGTTTGAATTGAGTGATAATAATGTGAATCCAACGCTCATTACGTACAACAGTGCCGCCGATGAGTACAGATTTAACTCAAAGATACTGAAGTCATGGAAAAACTGTGTCTTTGAGAGCGAGAATATAATGAGAAAAGTAGAGAAAGACTGGAAAATGTCTTATTTATCACGCAATGAGTCCAATGCCATCCAAACCGGAAGAATCAAATGGAAACTCAATTTGAAGAGTGATGTGAAATGGAGTGAAATGCGGATCACTATTAAGTGCAAAGTGTTTGAGAATGGATTCATTCGTCTATACGTGTACTCGACTGAAGACAATCGGTTGGAGATGAAGCCAAACACTGAGAATATCTTTAAAAGAAGTGAAGTTCCTCTGACGGGTGATATCATAATCGAAGCCATTCTGGATGGCGGCACCGGTAGCACGGGTTGGCAACACTCGCAACTGTTCCGACAGTCGCTTTCCGATGAGTCGGAAGTAAATTCATTTATTGTTGAAATATTTTTGTGAAAACAAAATGAAATAAATTTTAGTCAATTTTGTAAAGCTTCAAAACAAGTATTTTATTTATTAGTCTCACATAACAATCATTATTATTAATAGCAATCATTTAAGA